GTACTTCTGCAACTTTCCCTTGGCCAAAGGCCAACTGTTTATATGAGTCCAGGCCTCCTTTGAGCTATGAGATAAATGATGGCTCTAGTCACATCAGTGTGCTGTACATTTTTCAAATAGAAGGTTGTCCTCATCAGCACAAAAGAATTTTATAGGCTGATCATGGACCCCAAATACTCACATAATTGTAGTGTGCCCTGCAATCTTTTGCTCTACGTTTAAGAGTGTGGATTTGCTTGAATTTTTCATTGATCAGAGCTGCCACCTTCTTCCAACTGGAATTAGTGATTTGTCCAGCAGGTTCCGATTCTATGAAATCAAGAAGCAATTGGTTCTCTTCTGGCTGAAATGTTGGCCTCTGCTTGGGGAGCTTTGTGAGTCCCAAGGGAGAGTGGTTGTATGCTGCACCAATCTTGGGATCTGGTTTCTTTTGAGGATCAGGGGTTGATGATAGGTGCAGGGGCACCGGAGTTTGAACCACTCTTGTTGGCTTCCTTTTCACAAACTAGGGTGCATGAGGTTTTGTTAGAATACAAGGAACTAGTTGCCATGATTGGCTCTGTTGGCAAGATGTTCTCATCTCAATGTCAGAAATTGGAGAAGGGTGGTTCATCTGGCTTAGCCAGGGTCCGCTCTGTGGACAAGGTGTTTGTTGGACAGACATAAAAACTGTCTTCAAAGCGGGGTTCACAATAGCTTCTCGCAAGAAGCTCTCTTGGTTCTCGCGAGAAACTGCAGCACCACTGCAGACATAAAATTTAGCGCAGAATTTTGGATTTTTGCTGGGAAAATTAATGTCAGCTGTGCGCAAGCAAGAAAAAAAAAATAACGGGTGCGAGAAGCAAAAAACACTATTGTGAACCCCGCTAATTGCTCTGAGATAATCTAAATCCAAGTAGGGGTTGAACTCTAGGAAGAAACTTGCAGGAGGATAATTTTGAGTAACTAACCATCAATTTGTTGGGCCGATGAAAAAACCTCATCATAAGCATTACACTTTAATGGCAAAAGAAAAATTCAATATTTTTTGAATGCATGGATATAATCAGAATAGTGGGAAGTGTACTGACTAACCAGTGGGTGAATTATTTCCTGGCTCTTATCTTCACTTGTCCTGGCCATTGGTGGTTGGGACAGATGAATAATGACTTTACCAGTTTCACAATCCAGGCCCATTTCAGGCGGAATTGAATTTGAGTCTCTGAAATCCCAATCAGGGCAGTAATTGACCATAGTTGTATGGAATAGGTCACGTGGGGAATTCATGTTCTGTAAGAATTGGAAGGTAGGGACTAATCAGTGCTCAAAAGGAAAGAAGAAGAAGAATGATGTGGTAGTGACAGAACAGATGTAATGGGAGATGATTTTTTTGTTTAATGGGAATTTATCTGTTGACCTATCAAAGAAAGAGACCTGTAGTGTTGACCTATCAAAGAAAGAGACCTGTAGACAGGACCAAATCAAGCAATTCATCTGGATCAGATGTGTCCTTCATTATGAATGTTTCCTTCCATCAAGCCTTAGAGAAATGACCGCAAGTAGTGAGATCAGAGAGGTTAGGATGCAAAAAGCATTGCTATATGCTAACAGAAGGGTTGTGCAATAAAAGGGAAAGACTAATGGGAGGGTCACCAGGATCTATTGGATCACAACTGGATACTGTTTCAAAATAAAAATTCAATGTTGCCTACCTACGTTGATCTAATTGTTGAATGGGCCTCTTGCAGTGGTTGAGGATTTATCCTGTTACCAAATGAGGAGGAAGTGGGAAGTGAGGTTAGCAGAGTTGAGCAAGAAGACTTGATGAGATATAGACAATGAGGTTTGCCAAAGAGCATTATGTTGGTTGACTCTGTGTGATAAGTATGAGAAGGGAGAGTTGATTTCCTTGGACATTGCAGCTCAAGACAGGGTTGAATTGTCAGATGCCTCCATTCTTTTCTCAAGGAGAGATACCAGGATCTTACCTGAGACTCTGACTTTGGTGATTGTCTCTATACTGTCACAAATGTCCCCAACATTCAGGCAAGAGATTAGAATGAATAACAACAACTATGACAGATGTTAGATGAATCCATATTGAGCCAAAATTCTGTGTTGGGAATTAATGACTGTTACTGTATCATTGCTGTTATGGTCAACATAAATTTATACCCTGGCAAATCATTAAGCTAATTTAGCACATTTAACTGCCGCAAAACCCCAAAAATCACCAAGTTTGTGATTCTTTGGCAATTGGGTTATAAAGAATCACCCTTTTGACACCCAGCCAATAACAAAGACCGCAAGAAGATTGTCAAACTGAACACCAATTGGGTGTTGCTACCATGCGGAGCAACATCTGGGGGTTTCAGTGGGGATTTGCGCGCAGTAACTGCACATACTGCTGCAGTCATGCACTGGGATTTGTCTGGATGTTGCTTAGATAACCAGGGAAACCCAAATGACCGTGGTGTATGCAATCAAGACACTATGGCCAAGAGGTTAAGGCGCTTCCCAGGGGGGTGGAGGGGGGGACAGAGGAGAAGGGAGGGGGAGGGGAGGGTATATCAATGTTTGTATGTCAATCCATTCCAAACTTTCAGCACACAACAGCTATTACAAAAGCCAATCATGAGTTTGGATGATTCTCAAGAGCCAGGTGGGATAGGGTTAGAAGTAATTGATCTCTATGCAAAGCTATATAAGTTTGAGAAGGTTAGAATTGTATTCAAGATTAATCAAGCAATCAATGGGTCAAGAATGAATAAATATTCCTCTTGAATTATCTCACTAAATATTGCTGTAGCTGGGCTGTCTCAAATGAACCTAATACCAAAGGGCCACTATTCTGAATTTTCGGAAGGCATACTCTGTGAATACCACTTTTGATAATCAGCAGTCCTCATTTCACAATTGCTTTTTCTGACTAATTAATCTATCAGACTGGCACTATCACCATCAGGAGCCTGTTCATTCAAGTACCCCTGAATTTACCAGACAACAAGTATCAAAATGTTCTTGTCAAACCAATCAGACCAGGTTATGAAAAACCTAGTTGCCTGCCTTCCCAGGTGGACAGCTCAATTCTTGATAGAGAAACAGGAACACTTTCATTGAAAAAAGCAGCATGACTTGCATTTATCTTATAATTTGAAAAAAAGGAAGTGTGGATAAATAGATAGGCATCTCCACTGCGTAAACTAACTTGTCAGACAAGCCAGTCTGACAAGTCTTTGGACAGACTTTGTCCGACAAGTTCAGCAGCCCAGTGGTGGCGCACAACAAGACTTGTCAGGCAACGTCAGTCCAAGCACTCATTGGACTGGCTTGTCTAATGAGTAAATTTGTGCAGTGCTCCTGCTAAATATTCTTTTAATGGAAAAATCTGTAGCATACTATTGGAACCCTTGCTTTCAGTCTGCATGCTATTTGTCAGGAAGTTGTAGGGTAATAGACTTGATTTATTTGGTTACATATGTCATAATTGTGCCCAAAGAAGTCAATTAGGAATCATATGGAACAGCAAAATGTTCAAAGTAAAAGGTAATTTGGGGGAAGAAAACAGGCAAAAATAGGGCTTACCTCATAATTCTGAAAAAAGCTTTTTTGGATTCAAGTTTGGGAGCTAGAGTATAATTCAGATTGGGAAGGACTTTGACTGGATTTGCCTGATCTAACCAAACATCATGCCTCTACACTGAGGTGCATTACGTTTGCATGGCATATCTCAAGCAAGGTTTTCATCATTCTCTTGATCCGTCTCCAATTTCTTGTCTTCTTTTTTGTTCGGATCTGTATACAAAGCCGTAATTTATGTGCCTGTTTTGATGTTCTTCTTTGCAAACATGGCAAATATCCTATGTTGCATCATCCCCCCATTATTTTCCAAAAGTGGTCCATATGTTGGTCAATCAATTCTTTTATTTGGTCACAATGAAAAACACAAATAAAACATAAGACCAAGTAGGGTCACTCTGAAACAGCAGTAGCAAGCCATTCAACATTGATTTCCAAGGAGAAAGTAAGAAAATTGTAACTGGGTCAGCATTCCAGGACATAGACTCAATGACAGTCTCCTTTGGTTTGGGTGATTTGCTTTCTTCCTCCTTGGCTTTTGATGAGGAATTGCCAAGGGGTTCAGTGACGTTCTGAAGGTCCTACCACATGTGAGGCTCTTGTGAGCATCTGAGGATTGCTTGCTTCCATAGAGCACAACTAGCCCTTCACTTGCAGAACTGTTTTGGTTACTTGTCTTAATCCACCATGGATCAAGGGCAAACAGGTAAGTTCTGCCAATTTGATCATATTTACTCATGAGCCAGTGTGTAGGTAATCAGCTGGCCACTGTTGATGTCCTATCTTGATCAGTGCTACCCAGGGGGTTCACCATGCACATTGGGAATCAATCAACCAAGGAAAAAGGGGAACACACCTGTAATGTGTGACAAGTCAGCCAGTGGGAATTGTATGGTCAACAAAAACACCTGAAAGTAGTGTTCATAAATCAGATCAGCTGCTGTTTTTGGTGCTCTGGGATCAAGTGAGCTACTAACCCCAACCACGTGAAAGTGTCTTCTGAATGGACGGTTGCTCTCGACAGCCCCTGCCAACTGTCTAAAGCATTCAAATGGATATTAGAATTGTGCACAAATAATGTTGGAATCTCATTAAATAGAGAAAACTTACCATATTGATGCAATAATGGCTACACCCACACTATATAACATATCATGGTCATGGTCAGTGCTGAAAGAATTAGGGGCCAGCTAAAAACTATTGACTTTACTTTGGAGTTACATTCAAATATCTACTGGGAATGAATATTCCCAGGAACAATTTGGCCCATAGACCTGGGGTCAAGATCTCCATTGTTGGGTTTCTTGGAGTGAGAATGTTGTGGTTTGCAATTGGAGACATAGGCAAAGCCTTCAAAGCCTTGCACACTTGGATTCAGGTTGACATCAAGTGTCTTGGCAGCTTTTCTGACCATCTTTGACTGATAGATGCAACACTCGCATTTTGGATTGTCTGAACAGTCCCCCTCAACTGGCATTGCTCAGTGGGAGCAGTTGGCCACTCATTGTTTCAGCAGACCACCCTGGTTTGAATTAGCCAAAGGCGTGGTGGGAGCTCGGAAAAGCTGGCAAAATTATTTGTTAACACAAGAACAATCATCACTCACCAGTCTGTGTATGCAAATTCAAGCGGTGGTGCCAAGGATTGATCCAATACTGTCAATTTCCCTTGTTCATCTAAACTGGTTGTTTTCTCTGTGCAGATCCACATTATGAGTTGTCTGAAGCAGTAGTAGATAAGGTTAAAGCCACTCAGCTGACTCTTGAATCATCTGTACTTTCACCTTGTCAGGCACAGCAACCTTGATTCATGGGATCTCTGGATTTTCCCACATTTGGTTATTCTTGATCTCCTCACTAAAAATAAGATGGCCAAGTTGAGTGGTAAGATCTAGATTGCCAGTGAGTATGTATACTCTCTGCAGTTTGGTTTCAAATTCATCTGATCTTTTGCGGCCTTGTAATGGTTGTTGGTTAAGGGGTATCTGGGACCGTACCGCAAATACAGGCTTGAAAAATAGTAGCAGTCACTACA